TTATTTTATTTTATTTTATTTTATTTTATTTTATTTTATTTTATTTTTTATTTTATTTTTTATTTTTTATTTTATTTGATTTTTGTTTATTTTATTTCGTTTTGAAATTTTTTTTTATTGAAATTAATTTTCATGAATTTTTTAATATTGGTATTTTTTTGTTGTTATGAGTATTTAGTTTTAATTTTTCGCAGGCAGATAATTTTCGCAGCATTATTCCCACCACATAAGAAACATTCATCGTCGTCGCGTTTACGCATCAACACCATTGCCATTACCACGTCATCATCACAATAGCACCAGCATTGTCATCGTCGGCATCACCATCGTCATTACCAACGTAATTGTTATGGTTCGTACGTCATAAAAGTGTTGTAATTCGTTAGTTAGTTTTCAGAATTGTTGTCGGTATGTATTCGTTGCCACAATGAGTGTTGATGCCATTATTAATTTTGTTATTGTTATTATTATATTCATTGTTGTCGTAATTGCAATAGTCGCGTTTTTTTGGTTGTTTTATATTTTTTATTATTCGTTGTCAGTAATTGACAATTAATATAGACCAGCAGCATTCATGGTTGTTTCGTTGGTAGATGTTGGTGTTGTTGTTATCGTAGGATAGCAGAAATTTGAAAAGAATGAAAGTAAAATGAAATAGATTTCATTAGTATATCGATTAAACTACATTCATTATACAGCTACTATTTATTTAGGATAAGAGCGGATACCGATAATAAATGATTTATTTTATTTTATTTTTTGAAGTTTTGCAGTAAATTTTATAATTGGGTTTATGCCAAGTCTTAATTTATAAATAAATATTTATTATGTGATGCCTTTTGAGATAGTCTCCAAGCTTGAGAACCTTCCTAGAAGTTTGACAAAATAACCTTCGGAAGAATATTTAATATGAATTCCTTCTTAGATTAAAAAAAAAAAAAAAAATTTAACGGTTGCCACCAGTTTGAGTAATAATAAAAGTATGGCCATCAGCTGAAATTTATTTGAGAAATCTTCGAACTAGAAATATTTTTAATTGAGCTGTCACCTACCTAAATATGTACCTAGTAAAAATTCAAAATATTGAAATTAAACGAAACGTGTTTGAAGCTTTACTAGGCAATTTTTTTCGAAAGGTTGCTACCTATCCAAAAGCCGCTTTGCTGAATTTGAGGTAATATGGAATTTTCGTGGACAATTAAGCTTAATTGTAGAAATTGTCGATCAACTTCAAAGTCCAATATCTCAAGAAATATCGATTTTAGCGATTTTGTGTTCTGAAACTTTTTTTGTAGGAAATTGAAAGTCCTACAAGTTTGTCATTTATATTTTTTCTGTAGCTCTTGTTATTTTCGAGATAGTGGCAGAAAAAATTGGATTTAGTGACCCGTATTACCTCTTTGGTGGGAGTTAGGATTAAACCGCAATGAACACTTTTGTAGAGCATTCAATTCTGAAGAAAACCCATCATTGACCAATATTATAACATAAAATGTCTCTGAGCTGTAGACTTTTTAAGAAAAAAACTCAAAGTTTACGTGTATTTTTAATGGGAAATCTTTGCACGCCTTGGGCGAGTACTTAATGTTAATATTATGGGTTCAAATTTTCAGGGAGCTGTTTTCCGCAAAATTTTGAGGTAGGAGTGAAAAAAAACAATAGTCGCGAAAAACAAAAATCGCCCTAATGTACATCCAAATCTCTTATGGCCTTATTCATGAAAAATAAAATACATTTAAAGAGCTTTATAAGGTAAGATTTCCATAACATTTTTCGGTTTATAAAGTATTCAACGTCTTCTTTATTTTTTTATGAATTTGGGTGTTACCGAAATTGTTTTAAGGGTATTTATGTAGGTAGGTAGAAGTGGCTTTCGCCTTAGTGGCCCATTTGGGCCCTAGATAGAAGCCCCATTGTGTTACAACAGTTTAACACCGTTCAATTATCCTCTCTGTTGAACCACAAATCTACATAAAGGGATACCAAGCCTTTCTGCATGCTTACCTATTAGACGGTGCCCGATTGGAGCCCCGCACCACAACGTTAGATATATCCTCTCTTATAAGAGGGCAAACCCTTCGTGACCGTTTCCGGCACAATTTAGGCCAAGTCTGCCTGGAAATCTGACAAGTCGTACTTTGACTCCATCTTTCTTCAGGTTATTTGTATACAAAGTCACTAAGTGGCAGCTTGCAAGTGGCAAAAAGTATACCAATGCGTTCTATACCAGGAGGAACGTGCTTGGTTGTGCCTTGCCTTGCAAGTTCATCCCCGATGCACTTACACTCTAGGTCCCTATATCTGTTGGCCATCTGCTGTAGGGATAGGCGGCAGTCCAATGCAAGAGATCCGATATTTGATTCCAGCCTGGCTATCACCAAAAATGAAGACGCCCCTTCCCATCATTTCGGATCCAAGATTTTCAGAAGATTCCATACAAATTTCGGCTTGAAATACGCTGCAGTCGTCTGGTAAGTGAAAAAGGATTTTAAGAGGAGGGTTTCAAGAGAAAACGCCTCCTCCTGCCTTACTGTCGAGTCCCGAGCCAACTGTTTAGAATGTCAATACTAAGGGGGTGGGAGGGGCACAATAGATCATTTGGTCGCAGTGCATACCTCTAATTAATTTAAAAAATAGGGGGTGGGAGTGTTAAAACCTTCCTTCCACTCCACCCTGCTGGGGATTATTGAGCTAAAGTTGCTTTCCGGAGCCGATATCGAAGCGAAGCGGTCTCTGCTGTTCGGAATAAAGCAGAGTTTATTTGAAATACAAGAGTTTCCTTGGGCTTCAGGCTGCCATTAGGATGCCTCTCTAAAGCGAAAAGCAGCGAGCGCTGCCATCTGCTTTCCTAGCAAATTCAGTGGCAGA